TCTGGCTGATGCTGCACTATAATCCTTTTCAAGTTGAAGTACTTCTGGAACTCACCCAGTGAGCCAATCTAATTAAAACAAAAGAATAAATTATGTTTAAAACTACACTATGATATACTGATAGACTTTGTCTTTCTAATTCTCAGTACATTAAATACAGCTGGAGGGATTGTGACATTAACCAAAACCCATACACACAAAACTATCCTGCCAAACAGAAGACGTGAGTGTAATGTCTGCCCTCTTGTGGTTTAGTAAAGCGTGGTGCAGTTGAGCATTTTCACACCCAGGGGGCAAGGATTTAGTGAAGGGTCGCCCCTGGTTATTTCATGCAATCCTTATATTTAAGAATAACTGATGTTTTTTTTCTTCTGAATGATGGGGTTATGATCTTCTTATGGAGATCATTGTGCATTTAGATCTGTATATAATCCTTTTTATCTTATGTTCAACAAATCAGCAGATAAATCGCATGGCTACGTAAATTAATAACTTCATCACGCAGGTATGGGGATCGTTTGCCTTCCGGACCTTGCTCTGAACTCATCACTCTCTGTTAACAGACACAACAGGCAAGCAGATGGCCAAATCCTCAGTAACACACTACAGCAGCATGGAGCAAAGATCAGTGTTCTCGGGATCTAATGCTGCCACAGGGGCCTTCACCTGGAATCCTCCTCAAACCCACTTTGAGAGGGGACCTTTTCAAAACACATAGGGAACCCTTGAGCAGCAATTTTCTTTGCTTTTATAACATACGAGTCATCCTAACATATGAAAAACAAATTTCAGGCTTGCTCTTGGATATTTGCGTGGGCTGGTGGAGGTGTGAGGGGAGATCTGGACCTCATCTTGATTCCACCAGACTTTAGTAGTCCGTCTCCCTGCCACTTATATTTAGCACACTGGGAAATCCAAAGATACTTATTCTCACAAGCTCTCTTAGAACAGAACACTTGGGAAAGTGCCAGTGATGGCAGCGATTGTTGTTAATTGGGTCAGGCTGTCTAGTAGTTTTACATCCACCCACTCACACAGCTACTGCAGGAAGAAAGGGCAGAGGTGCAGTGCTGTGTTACACTGAGCCCCTGGGGGCAGTGTTGTACAGGCTGTATTTGAGCATGTAGTACTTTACTGTGACTAGTACTTCTTGCAGCTGTTATGAACTTGACCTTTTTAGTTGGGTTCTTCTTCACTGTTTCCTAACACCGTTTCCTGTTCCTCATGATTTATAGATAAGCTGGATAAACAAGTTGTTTCCTATTGATGCTTGAAGCAGGAACCTGCCCGGGGCTCGACTGATAAATAATATGATATGATAAATAAATATTGGACAAAGTAAGAGCGTAAAGGCTTTTCCAGTCATTATTCATGCTACACAACAAATAGAAAAGTGTGCCAAGAGAGTGTTAGATAAGACCATCAGCAAAATGGGCCACAAGCATGCCTCAAATGCTTACTTAAGGAATGCTTTATTGAGTGCAACTCCTCTGTTTGGGGCCGTAAGGAAATTCACAGCCATTAAATTAAACATTGTCCCGTAGCCTATTACAGGAGTGAGGGGAGGAAAGACGCTCTATTCAGCCAATCCCTCAGCACCTCTGAAAAATAGATGCTGGATAATTGACAGCAGGTCAGTGAGCCAGGGAAACTGAGGGTGAGAGGAAGAGAAACAGAAACACAGGCACATTTCCCAGACTTAAGATCTGTGTGTATACTCTTTCTAATTGAAGGTCAATTTGTCTTCCCAGTGAAACAACAGGTTGATTTACCCGCACAACCTAAATGCTGCTGTTGTGAAAAGGCAGGGGATCCAACTGTAAGAGGCCAAGGAAGGGCAAGACAAAGCAGAGTGAATACGTTAACTGGAGATGACCCGGGGTGAAGGGGCCAGTGCTTAGAGGCAGTAAAATCCTCACGTTAACTGATTGCTATGGATTTTCCCAGGCTGTAAAACAGGATCTGCTCCAGATTTTGTGATCCCAAGGAGCTGATGTCTAGGCCAACACGTTTGTCGGATGCAGTCGTAATATGTGTGCGAGTTAGTGACCGCGTGGGTTAACAAGTGTGTGCGTACGTACCAGTTTGAGTGTGCACAGAGGCAGGCAATAGCAGCCACAGCTACTTGACGTTCAAAGAGAAGAGATCAAAGGACAGCACCTTACTTCGGTCTCCTTCCTCAGGATTAAAACGGTCATCAATAATAATGGACTGGAGCAGCGCAGTGGGCAAACTGGAGAGGAGCATGGGCGAAAGCCGATAGGTCTATCACCTGTCTGTGTTTGTGTGTGTGTGCGTGTGTGTGTGACATCTTGGTGCTTTGCCACAGGGACAAGTGGGAGCACAGACTATAAGCGTTGGCTGTTTCTCTGGAACTGCAGCCTGAAACATCCTTCTGAAACATCATCCAATATTCACCACTACATCGTCTTCACTTCTCACTTTGGGCTCCCAGGTGGTTCCCTGTGAAATGTATGAATGCATGCGTGTTTGTCCTGCATCATGACGCAACAACAGAAAAAAAGACATCCTCTATGCCATGTGTTTATATTATTTCCTTTGGATGAATAAGGACTTTCATATTGCATATTTATTCCATATGCAAAATGTATCATAAACAAGGCCTTACTTATGCAAAAGAGGAGCCAGACCATATTAATTAGACCTAAATTTATAGTTTGCATTATTCTATGAGGGCTTTATGTTCACATAGCAGTTGCTACAATAATTAGGTATGTATTAGCTGCCTGTTCACCCTCACTTACATCGCCTGCGCTGCTTCTGACCTCTTAACATTACAAAATGCGAAAAACACATTACAAACAAATATAAAATAACAAACTTAATCTTTGCATCTCCCCACCCCATAAAAAAAAATCCCATTTTTAAGGAGCGTTAATGGTGGTGAAAGTGGTGCTAATGAAAGGGTCCGAGATCACCTGCGATCCCCGTATTTTACACACGCTGCGTGAACAGTATGTAAAAGTCAGAGAATGGAAAATATACGTTAACTCCCTCACAAGATGACCGTCATCTCATGAACGGTAGTGCACGTGTTAAGAGAGTGAGACAGGCAAAATGTAGACTGAGATTTTTTCCTTCTCTCCTTCTAATCTCCCTCCATTCCTCTCCTCGTCAATCGCAGCTTTTCCCCACGAGGAGAAAAAGGAGAGGTAGCTAATTAATTACACTGACTGACGACTCAGTGGTGAAGATCTAAGGAGGTGATAAATTGTGCAGTCGCACAACTATGACAGTAATCTGAGGCAATCCCCTACCTTCACTACCAACTGCTCTTCACATTGCCTCTCAATATATCACACAAACCCACTCTCCCTGTCACGTTAGTTTGAAGCCTCAGTTGCAGCTCATTCCGAGACACAATAACGTCGGCAGGGAAAAAAAAAAGAGAAGGGTCACAAGAAGTCGACAGCCAATCACAGAGATCCATGCAAGCCAGACAGAGGTTTGCTCTCAATTGGAAGCAGCAGCATTATGTTGGATTATAAATGACCACACAGCACTAATATCTCTGCTCTATACTTCCACAACGGCCGTTCATCATTTGACAAACTCAGGTGCCAAAAATGGATGTCCATCAAATTGCCAACAGCTGTGAGGCTGTGCGCTACATAACACACCTCTGCTCAGTCACTTGTTACCTGAGAATGGTTTAAAGGTGTTTTCTTTACACTATCAGCAAATGATTACAGATGAAGACAGTTCCATCTGAAAAGCGTGTGAGACACTTAACAGCTGGAAGTAAGAGAAAGAGAGGCTTCCTGTCTCATGTGTAACAGCAGTGTATGTAGCACCCCAGAGCAGCTGTCTGGCTTGAAAACCACAGTTTAGTCTCAACAACACCTCACCTGATAGATGGTCTTCATTATCTCTTGCTTCCTCAGGGGAAGGAGCTCCAAATGTCCCTTTCTTGATCTTATCTGTCTCCTTTTTTAGATCAGTAACTACCACCACACACACCATACAATAATCAACTGAATCCTCTATTGATTCCCTTGAATCGTGTTGTTATCTTGAATTATCAATATATGTGAAATTGCAACTTCATACTTTGAATATTTCATTAACTAGAGAAATAAATTATTGTCTTTGAATGGGTGAATTGCAGAAAGTCTTAAACAACATTAAATAAATGCTCTCTCGGAATTTCTTTCAAGCCCTTTGAATTGATTGAACTAGTTTTGCGATTCTTCCAATTTGCAGTGAAGGCGTTTTATTATCTGACTGTAACCTTGTCGGCTAGGTTTTGGGGAAATGCTGTCTTGTAATTGGCATAATTAAAAAGGAATGGAGGAGAAAGCCAGCGTGTGCGCGTCAGGCGACGGTGACTCAACGTGCACAATGTAAGGGAATGACGTTTGGATTTGCAGTGGGAAACATAGAAGCACCCAGTGCTGGGTGCCAGCACCACTCAGCATCAATACTGCATGCAGTAATGCTGGAAAGCCAAGCGCTCCAGACCATGAGGCACACAAGAGGGCTAAAATAAGATCCAGCAGCCAGTGAGCTTTACAGCTCCAATAAGCTCTTATGTGGGAAAAACAGTTCCGCATGCATCATATTGTATCTGAGAAGAAAACTGGGTCAGATGGATAATAATGCAGAGGGTTTGGGTCTGCGAGTGAAACTACTTCCCGGTCAGCTAACTGTAACTCTTTCCTTTATGAAAAAATACTCAGTTAAAACCGTTTTTAACAGAAGAGAATAAGAAATGAATGAACTTGATTTGATGGCCCTTGATCCAAAGTACAATCTTAATACAAGGATAAATCTCTCTTTGCACTAACGGCAATAATAAAGCATTTATTTTTTGTTGCCGTTGACACTAAACACATGCCCATGCTGCACACATAGCACATCTAGAATACATTACTTTCTATGCACACGTATCAATTTATAATGCACTATGGATTATGCATGTTCACACATGTTCATGAGTACCATGAGTCTGTGTGTGTTGAGTGCATGTTCCCACCGACCTGTGCTGCTCTGGATGGTTCTGACGGTGGTGGTGGTACACGGGGGTGAGTTGGTCCTCCTGATGCCCACCGTGACGCCTCCCTCCTCCTCTTCCTGCGAGCAACCTTTCTCTATGGCACGCACGTAGCTGTGGCTCCGCATGCGGAAGCAGTTGGGCATGGGCAGGTCCAGGGCATCCACCGCCTGCGACTCCATTTCACTGAACACCGACTCACACACGGCCTCGATCTGCCCGTTCACCTCCACCTCACTCACCTGTGAGAGAGGGGACACACGCAGACATACAGTACGTGCACCCAGACGGAAAAACACACGTACATGAGCGTACATGCCCAGAGCACAGAGGAAAGTAAAAGTGAAAGATAAAGATGCAGTGGCGCACACCATCATAGTGCAAGACAAAGAAGGGACAATATTCTAGAAAAATAAAAGGACGTTCAAGGAGTGCAGAGGGGGAGGAATCACTGTAGGATACAACTTCAAAGAGTTGCACAACAGAGTGAAATACTAGTGCTGTCATTACAGGTGAGCATTAGGAAGTGTCAAAGCTTGGACTACTGGGAGTTGAGATGTGACTCGACGAACTCCAACTACACCTGCATCATCAGCGAGTGCACACTACTCTGAAACTCTTGCTACAGACTTGTGAGATGGGTGTGTTTTACAGATTGGGTTGTGTAAGGGAACATTAGGCTCCATTCCATTCCTTGAAGTTGCCCTTGTTCAGCTGGTCCAGAAACATAGAGCAGAATATAGGAATGGGATGTGGCTCGGGACTAAAGTGTTTGGTTTGAGCGTTTGTCAGTGAAGAGAGTGTACAGTCAGACAAGTGTGAGTGTATACTGTAGAGCTTGGAGTCAGAAAGGTTTGTGGACCTCGATTCAATCCACTGATGTTTAGCCTGTTTTGTGCATTAGTTCACACTCTATGTGCATACAGTACATGTCAAATATGAGAGTAAATGAGTGAGATGGAGAGCCTGCCAGCACCTCTTTTATTCAGTGGCATTTTTGTAGATGCCAGGTCCAGTGTGTCACTCTCCTCTGGGCCTGCTCCATGCTAGGACTTGAAGGGACGTCTCAAGGGTCCATCATTCAGCCGATGAGGCAAAGTGTTGCCCCTGGGCTTTGGAGGGGAGTACATATCCCCATTACCCCAGGCAAAAAGGTGAGCTACGCTCCCCTGTCACTTCAATAAAGTGAAGCCGTGCTCAAAATCCAAAATGACTAACATCATATTTTGCAGCAGCCACGACAATAACAGACCTCCGACGTTGTGTTTCCTCGCCAATTCTTCAATAACTATCAAATCAAGGCAAATGTCCATCATCATTTGGAACCAATCCCAATTTCAATTATTCATAAAATTCGTATGGCTGCATGTTAATTCTTGTTTTTCATCTCGTACATAGCAGATGCCAAATTGAAAAGAACATTTTTAGCCTGTCATTTTGCATCACAAAGTATGCCGAGGCAGAAGGAGCATATTAGGGTGAAATAGAGGATGGGGGGGGGGGGGGGGTTATGCCTGCCTTCCTGTTTAATTAGCCAATCTGAATACGCCTGTAATCATCTGAGCTCCAGAAAACAGCACGCAGACGTATACACGCAGACGTATTGGGAGATGGGGGTTTTTCGTACTGTTCATGTTTTGCCGGATGGTGACCCGATTGTTAATTCAGGCCTTTAGGACAGCTACGGATGGGATTTCGTCCCCCCTGCACGACCTTATTGGACATAGCAGTAGAGGTACAGGGGCTTTAGGGCTGACTTTAGAGAGGCACAGGCCCCTGGGTGCCACTAACCTGGCTGATGGTGCTCATGGCTCTCATGTAGCTCTCGTTTCGTGAGCGGAATTTAGGCGAGGCCAGCAGCCCTGCCGGGTCCAAGCTGTCCAGACTCCTATTGATGGAAACCTCACTCACCGCCCGCAGGTAGCTGTGACTCCGGATCTGTAGCTTGGGCGAGTGCTCTGTGGAAATCCTGCCACAAAATAAAGGAGAGGAAAGAGGAGGAAAAAGGAGCTTGGTAAAAAGCAAAAGATACAGATCAATCCACAATTGCTTCAGGAGACACTCATCTAATCAACAAGCGCAGCAGCATTGAGAAACACTAGCAGTAGTTTAGGTCTGTCCTTGAAGCTCCTTGTAAGCACGTTCTAAAACACTTAGCGGTGAAAACACTCACATACATATGTCAGAAGAAGGGAGAGGAACTGTGTGTGTGTGTGTGTGTCTGAAGTATGCTTAATCTAATGACCTTCACATTAAAACAGATTTATCATAGACACATAAACAGAAAATACACACACGTACACAAACACAGCTTCAAGGAAGATGAATAGGCGTCTCATTAGCTCTCACCTGCCTCCAATCTGATCGCTCAGCATGCATCACGCCTATGTGCATGTGTGTGTGTACATGATTACAAGTGTGTGTGTAGGTTATGTAGCAGTTGGATGCCAGCTAAACAATTCATTAATCAGGGGAAATGAAACCTAAAAAGCTGACTCGCTTTCCTCTTGATGAACATCGTGGCAAACCAACTTCCAGAAACCAAAGTGCAACGTCTAATCTCAAATCAACTCTGAGGAGTTAGATCCAATATCCCCTGTATTTCACACTTTGTCCCTGATGTTGACTTGTGTGTCTACAAAGACACACACACACACACACACACACACACACACACACACACACACACA